TTTCTGTTTCTTGCTGACTGCAACCCAAGAATTTCACCACATGGGCAAAGACTGACGCCCTAACGCTAGAAGAGGCGTTGAAGGGGAGGTTACTGGAACCACTAAGGAAACATGACAAAGCTTTTCAAAGACAAGTGGAAGAGAGTAAGGCATACCCAAGCGTGGGTGTGGACCCCTCAAGGAACAGTCATTTCATTAGTCATACAGGACATTTTGGTGGCTCTCAAGTTACATCTTAAAAGATTGCTAAGAAGTTTTTTCCTTTCTCACTCTCCTCATGCCCCCAAACAAGGTCTCTCTACATTGTAGTTGGTTATTTCACTCTTTGGGGGCCTGATACCCAGCTCCCAAATAAATACACGGCGTCTTAGTCTCATTTATGAATGCTCAGCCTCAGCTTGGCTTGTTTCTAGCCAGCTTTTCTAACTTAAATTATCCTGTTTCTCTTTAACTACGTTTTGCCTCTAGACTTTTTACTTTTCTTTATTCTATATATCTTTCCTTCCTTCTTACTCCGTGGCTGGCTGTGTGGCTGGGTGGCTGGGTGGCTGGCCCCTGGCATCCCACTCTCCTCCCTTTCCTGCTTCTCTCTCTCCTTTAGATTTCTTCTCGTATTTATTCTCTCTGCCCACCAGCCCTGCCTATTGCTCCCTTCTGCCTTGCTATTGGATGTTCAGCCCTTTATTAGACCAATCAGGTGTTTTAGGCAAAGTAACACAGCTTCACAGAGTTAAACAAATGCAACATTTAAAAAATGCAACATAGCCAGGCGGTGGTGGCGCACGCCTTTAATCCCAGCACTCGGGAGGCAGAGCCAGGCGGATCTCTGTGAGTTCGAGGCCAGCCTGGGCTACCAAGTGAGTTCCAGGAGAGGCGCAAAGCTACGCAGAGAAACCCTGTCTCGAAAAACCAAAAAAAAAAAAAAAAAAAAAAAAAAGCAACACATCTTTGCATCATTAAACAATTATTCCACAGTATAAATGAATTTAACACATCTTAATAAACTAATATTCCACAATACTATATAGCCCTGGATGTCCTAAAACTCACTTTATAGACCAGGCTGGCCTCAAACTCACCGAGAGCCACCCGCTTCTATCTCCTGAATGCTGGGATCAAAAGTGTGTGCCACCAGGCCCAGCTAATGTTATCTAGATCATTTCTGCTCATTTGTAGCTAGATCTAAGATGGCTAGAGGCATGCTTGAAAATGAATCACCAGATTTTATTTCTGACAAATAATTTTTTCCTTTTTTAAAGAGGCCTTTGGATTTCTGTCTCAGACGGCAAACCACAGCTCACAGGGGCATAGGATTAAATGTAGAGGTAAACCACACAGCTCATAGAAGGAAAAAAGTAGATACGGCTTCGCGTTTGGGGATTTATGTTATAATGAAAGGAGTCAGATATCTTCTTCCATACGACACTAGAATCACAAGGAACTAAAGAGAAAAAGAGCTGGGTCCTGGATGCCCGCCTCTAATCCAGCACTTGAGAAGTGGCCACAGAGGGGTCAGGAGTTCAAGTCATCCTTAGGCAACAGTGAGTTTAAGATCAGCCTGGTCTACAAAGTGAGTTGGAGAGGGAGAATATTAAACAGCACTGGCCAGTGGGGGCGCACTCCTTTAATCCCAGCACTTGGGGGGACAGAGACAGGTGGATCTCTGTGAGTTCGAGGCCAGCCTGGTCTACAGAGCGAGATCCAGGACAGCCAGGGCTACACAGAGAAACCTTGTCTCAAAAAAATAAACAAAGCCGGGCGGTGGTGGCGCACGCCTTTAATCCCAGCACTCGGGAGGCAGAGCCAGGCGGATCTCTGTGAGTTCGAGGCCAGCCTGGACTACCAAGTGAGTTCCAGGAAAGGCGCAAAGCTACACAGAGAAACCCTGTCTCGAAAAACCAAAAAAAAAAAAAAATAAATAAACAAGAAACCCAAACAATCAACTAACAGACAAGTGAAAATAAAATGCCATCCAAATAACGGGAGAAAATCAATGCAATCCATACAGAGCACGAGACTTGTGTCTAGAACGTATAGACCAGCGGTTCTCAACCTTCCTAATGCCACAACCCTTTAATTCAGTTCCTCATGTCGTTACCCCCCCCAGCATAAAATTGTTCTGTTACGACTCTATAACTATAATTTTGCTACTGTTACGAATTGTGATATAAATAACTGGTATGCAGGATATCTGATATTCAACCCCGTGAAAAGGTTGTTCAGGCCCCCAAAGGGGTCATGACCCATAGGTTGAGAACCACTGGTATAAAGTATAAGGAACACTCAGTATGGAATAAGAATAAAAACAATATAAATGGACAAAGAAACTCTGACCACGTTTTCTCCAGAGGGAATATGGGACCAAACAAGATGAGTTTGCATCTTGGCAAATGTAGAGCCAAAGCAAGCACAGCCAAGGCATAAGAGAGTGGAGAGAGGGGCTGGAGAGACGGCTTAGCAGCTGAGAACACTGGCTGCTATTGCGGAGGGCTCAGGTTCAGCTCCCAGCAACACACAGCTCACAGCCACCTGCAACTCCAGCTCCGGGGCCTCGGTGCCCCCTTTCAGTCTCTTAACATCTGCATTCACACACACACACACACACACACACACACACACACACACACACACAAAAAAAAAAAAAAAACAACTCAAAAATACATTTTTTAGAAAAGGAAAGCCTCGGGCTGGAGAGATGGCTCAGAGGTTAAGAGCACTGCTTGTTCTTCCAAAGGTCCTGAGTTCAATTCCCAGCAACCACATGGTGGCTCACAACCATCTGTAATGAGATCTGGTGCCCTCTTCTGGCTTGCAGGGATATGTGCAGACAGAACACTGTATACATAATAAATAAATAAATCTTTAAAAAAGAAAAAAAAAAAAAAAAAGAAAAGGAAAGCCTCATTCGGATGCTTGCCATCACATAGGTGAACCATGAGAACACTAGGTTGTATGAGCATGTTTCTGTAAAAATCCCAGAACGGCAAGTTCACAGCACCAGAAAGATAACTGCCAAGGGCTGAAGCCCAGCAGGAAGGCTGACGGTGGTGGCCAAAGTGTTTGGGATTGCTTTATGGACTGAAATACATACCATGAAGTTGCAACGCTGGGAACCCGACCCTGTGACTGTGCTAATAGCCACTAAGTGACAAGTGGGCTTTCTATTATATATATATTATATATATATATATATATATTATATATATATTACATTTTAGTGTGTGTATATATTACATTTTATTTAGCGTGTGTGTGTGTGTGTGTGTGTGTGTGTGTGTGTGTGTGTGTGTGTGCATACGTGTGTGTTGACTCAGCACACTGAGCCATCTTGCCAGCCTGATAGGTGGACTTTCAGTAATCATACTGTACGGTATGTGAGGTACAGCTCAAAGAAAGTTGCTCACAAAAAAATGGGGTCATGTGCTCTGAAAGGAGAAAGAAGCCTGTCCTTGCCACCCCCACCCCCATTCTGTCCCTGGAGTCTGTGCCCCTCGGCCAGGCCAGGTTCTCCTCTTTGACTTATCTGCCAGCTAGCTACAGATGGCCTAGTCTTCCTTGGGGACCTCTGTTCCTTTAAGACTGTGGTCTGTGGAACACTAAGACCTGAAGATTCTGGGGTTGACATGGAGACAGTGGACAAAGAGAGGTGTGTCTTAGAGCCTGAGGAGATTTTTCTCAGAAGGGTCAAGCCCCCTCTGGAGCAGGACGGCTCCAGAGAGGAGGGATGGTTAGGGGATCCTTAATGGGAAAGAGGTGGGGGGAAGTGATAAACCACAGGGGAAGGAAGGGAAACTTGGCCACAGCCACAACTTCTGGTGCCATTTGAGAGCCTGGGTCGCAGAGGAACTGGCGTTTCCCACCTGGGTCGCAGAGGAGCTGGGGTCCAGGGTCTGGCTCACTGTGGGGAGGTAGGTGAGATAACAGAAGGGGTTTGAAGGGACAAGAGGAGAAAGCTGGGGTCTGGGTCAGCCGAAATTATCTGTATCCCTGGGGTGGGGGACACCCAGGGCACCAAGGCCTGGCACATAAGTGGTACAGGTGATTGCCCTTAAACGGTAAATAAGGGGCCCATGCTTCCAAGAGGCAGGACAATCCTGTGAGGAGCTGAACAGATCTGGGTTTTAATCCAGTTCCTTGGAGATGAGCCATGTGGTGTTGGGCAAGATGTTGGGCGACTCTGGGCTACTGTTTTGTTTTCTATACAACAGGAAGGTCTGAGCCCATACCTCACAGGGCTGTGAAGAGAATACAGCGTAAGAACTTCCAGCAGCGAGAAGGTCATTCTGTGGACAGTAGCTGGCCTACTGTGGCTTAGAAGGGGAAAGCCTCTGAGATCCTCCAGGTCACGGGCTCTCCTTGGAAGGCTTTGGGGATGGGGGTGGGGTATTGATCTCTGAAAACCAGTGAATGTGAGAAGCAGCCAAGATGTTGCCATAGAAATAGAGCTGAATTTGCTCTAAAGGGGCCTGGGCTGGGGAGATGGCTCAGTCAGGAGACAGCTTGCTTTGTACGCCCGAGGACCTGAGTTCAGTTACCCAAACCCCTGTTTTGTTTTGTTTGTTAAAAGGGGGGGATGTGGGGAAGTCAGAGAGGTGGCTAAGTGGTTAGAACGCTGTGTCTTTTTGAGCAGGAGACCCGGGTATAGTTCCCAGCAACCACCTGTAATTCCAATTCCAGGGAGATCTGACACCCTCTGCCCCCTCTGGGAGCCTGCATGCACATGGAGAACATAAACTCACACAGGCGCACGCGCACACACACACACACACACACACACACACACACACACACACACACACACACATATGTAAATAAAAATGAATATATCTTTTTTTTTTTTTGGTTTTTCGAGACAGGGTTTCTCTGTGTAGCTTTGCGCCTTTCCTGGAACTCACTTGGTAGCCCAGGCTGGCCTCGAACTCACAGAGATCCGCCTGGCTCTGCCTCCCGAGTGCTGGGATTAAAGGCGTGCGCCACCACCGCCCGGCCAAATGAATATATCTTAAACAACAACAAAGCCAGGCTTAAGTCCTACACCCTTGAGATGCCAGCGCTGGAGCAGCAGAGACAGGCAGGACCCCTGAGGCCAATCAGTCTAGCTCACTTACAAGTTCCAGGCCAATGAGGGACCTGGACTCATAGGCCTGGGCTACCGCACCCGGGTTTATGTGTCGCTTGTGTAGGCTAGCCAAGCACACTACCAATTTAGCTACACTCTAGCCCCTAATGGGCTCCCTTTTAAATGTACACTGGTGTTTTAAAGGCTCTGAGATGTCCTACAAGACCCTGAATGTTTCATTTTGATGAGGCCAGCATTCCATTTCCTCTAGATTCTTAGGCAGGCTTGAGGATGGAGCAGGATTGCGCTGTGGCGGAGAGGCAAAGACCTGACGTTTGCACCAGTCATAGGTCCGAGCCCACTCTAGACCTTGGGCATGTTTCCTGAGCCTCTTGCTCAGGCTCACTGTGAGCATTAAAGAATCAGATGAGCTCCTGCTACACAGACTGGCTCCTAGTTAAGCACAGGCTCCTTCTTGACAGCCTGGCCCCCTTCTCCGAGTCCAGACCGGCGCATCCCAGGCTCCAGGTGTAGCACAGATGCAGCAATGGGGGCTCGGGGCTGGGGGGATCTTGGCTGGATTTCTCCTTGGTGACGGCAGCTGATGCCCCTTGGGAATCTTGCTTGCTCCAGAACGATGGAAAACAGAAACACCCAGATACACCCAAAGAACAAGGAGGAGACTCCAGCGGTCCAACCAAGTCCTGGCCTGAGTTCCACCACAAAGAAGACTGATTTGGAGTCCACTGTGTCAGGCAGTCAGGTGGGCGGGCCTTCACGTCCAGTTCTGATCTCCATTCCCATCGCTGGTCTCTTCTCCCCACCCCCAGCCACCCCTTTTTTGTTTGTTTTGTTTTTTGTTTTTTGTTTTTTGTTTTTCAAGACAGGGTTTCTCCGTGTAGCCCTGGCTGTGCTGGAACACTCTCTCTCTGTAGACCAGGCTGGCCTCAAACACAGAGATCCTCATGCCTCTGTTTCCCAAGTGTTGGGATTAAAGACATGAAGCACCCGATCGAGCATTTCTTAGTCAGGTTGACAACTGTGGCTGACCACAAGTCCCCCTCTGTGGACACCTGACACCCAAGCATGCTCCTAACCCAGAACAATCCACCACCTCCTGACAAAGCCACCATATTAATATTCCAGCAAGAGAAGAATCCATTAGGGGAGGCCGAGCCCTCATGATCTTGTCGCTTTCCTAAAACCAACCAGCTGGTAACCAGGCCCTCAATATGTGAGTCTGTGAGGGACATTTCACACATGCTTCGTCTTTTAACGGCACACTGGGCAAACATTCTGGGCCTCCTTTACCACCTCCTATTCATTTTCTCAGCAAGCAGACATGGATCTCAATCCTGCCACTTAATTAGCTCTGTGACCTCGGGGCATCTCTGAACCCCTTTCAGCCTTTTGTATGTATGTCATGGTAAGGATTACCTGGGTTAAGTGTGTTGAGGCTCTGTCTTGTGGTAGGTACCCACTAGCATTGGCTCCCATCAGAATCTTCTCTTAAAAAACAAACTTCATCCGTTAGTTAATGAGCTACATGGTGTTTGCTGACTTCTGAGGCTAGGCGCTATGTTGGCTTAAGATCCACCCTACTGGCAACTGACGGCCAAGATGGAGATTAAAAATAAAAAATCCAGGGGTGGGCCATGGTGGAACACACCTGTTGCCTTAGGATTCGAGCTGATGCAGAAAGATGTCAAGTTCAAAGCCAGCCTAGGCTATATACCACAACCATGATCTCAAAAAAACTAAAAACTGCCGGGCAGTGGTGGCACATGCCTTTGATCCCAGCACTTGGGAGGCAGAAGCAGGCAGATTTCTGAGTTCGAGGCCAGCCTGGTCTACAAGAGCAAGTTCCAGGACAGCCAAGGCTACACAGAGAAACCCTGTCTTAAAACAAACAAACAAACAAACAAACAAACAAAACCTAAAAACCAGCATCTGGGCCATGGGATGATGGTACTGCGTGGAAGGCATCACTCCTTGCCCACTGGCATTCTCCCAGGCAGTCCTCAACAAAATTGGCTCATATTCTGGTTGATTTCCAGTTTTATGCCAGAGTTCATAATGCTAAGCAGCAGGGCCAGGCCCACCACCTATCTCCAGGCCACCGATTGCTCTTTCTCTTCACCTCTCTCCAGCGCTCTCGCATGCGCGCGCACGCGTGTGCGGACACACACACACACACACCCCGACACAGGCAAACACGGGAAGATGGGCAAGGAGGAGCAGGAGAAGGGCCCCAGCACCTGGCTCTAGGTCGGCCTTTGAGCCAGCTCAGACACACCTCTATTTTAGGGGGGGCTTGCAGATGCCGAGGAAAAGGACAACAAAAAGCAGCCTGTAGCTCCCACAGAACCAAAGAGGGAGCTCCAACACACAGGGTCATCCCAGGAGGGGCCAGGGGAACTTGAAACCCAGGAGCAGAGGCCCTCATCAAGACCAGGGTGAGTTGTGGGGGACTTCCCAGAAAAGGGAGTCTGGAGAGAACTGAGAACTTGCAGGCTAAGGCAGATCTAGGGACTGAAGCACTCCATGCTCCCCCCCCCCCCCCCCGGCCCCCCCCACCCCCGCTTCCTACTTCCCCCCTGCTTCCTACTTCTCCCCTCTCTCCCCCTACCCACCCCCTGCTGAGGATCAAACCCAGGGCCTTGCAGATGCTAACTTGGCAAGTGCTCCCTCCTCCCAGCTCAACGCACCAATCAGACTAAATTCTTTTCTTCTGTTTTTGTTGGTTTGTTTGTTTTTTGAGACAGGGTTTCTCTGTGTAGCTCTGGCTGTCCTGGAACTCGCTCTGTAGACCAGGATGACCTTGAACTCACAGATCCGCCTGCCTCTGCCTCCCGAGTGCTGGGATTAAAGGCGTGCACCACCACCACCCGGCTCTAAATTATTTCTACTCACCCTTTGTCTACTCGCTCCTACTAGACCACAGCCTTTTTCTACATGACTTACTCAAAGGGAGTTTATGTCTATTGTTCAGCTTCAGATCCTGCCTCCTAGTACCAGCCTGGGCACATGGATAGTAGATGCTCAATAAACACTGATTCACTAAATCAACAGAAGAAGGAACAAAGGGGGAAAAAAATCAATGGGCTGGGTTTAGAGGCATATGCCTCCTCTAATCCCTCCACTTGGCAGGTGGAGACAGAAGAACTGGTAATCCAAGGCTAGCCTCAGCTTAGACCACACAAGACAATGCCTCAATAAATAAATAAAATAACATAGACAAAACTTATACCATAGGACCAGTGAAATGTCTCAATGGGTAAAGGTTTGATCCCCATGATAGAAGGAGAGACCCAATTTCTAAAAATTGTCCTCTAACCTCCAATGTGCACTGTGGCGTGTGAGCCTACCACCCTCCCCACCTACCCATCCCCACACAAAATAAATGTTAATTTTAAAAAGTGTTACATTCGCCAGGTGGTAGTGGTACACGCCTTTAAGTTCCAACACTCAGGAGACAGAGGCAGGTGGATCTCTGTGAATTCAAGGCCAACATGGTCTACAGAGCAAGTTCCAGGACAGCCAGGACTACACAGAGAAACCCTGTCTTGAAAAAAAAGAAAGTTACATTCATTTATATGTGTGGTGCTCTTGTGGCAATCAGAGGTCAGCTAACAGGAGGAAGTGCCTCTTTCCTTCTACCATGGAAGGCCTGGGGTTTGAACTCAAGCTGAGGATGTCAGAGTCAGTAAGGAAGCACTTTCAGCTGCTGAGCCATCTTCATGGTCCTACAAAATTTTGTTAAAGATGAATTTAATTTAGGCTGAAGAGCACTGGCTGATCTTCCAGAGGACCAGGGTTCAGCTCCCAGCATCCATATGACAGATCACAATCACATAAAGCTCTATCTCCAGGGGGTCAACACCCCCTTCAGGCCTCTTTGAGCTCTGCACATACATGTTTGCATATACATACATGCAGCCCAAACACTCGTACACATAATGACAGGGTTTCTCTGTGTAACAGTCCTGGCTGTCTTGGAACTCACTTTGTAGACCAGGCTGGCCTTGAACTCACTAAGATCTGCCTGCCTCTGCCTCCTGAGTGCTGGGATTAAACGCGTGCGCCGCTGCCACCACCACCTGACTAGATCATCAAAATATTTTATATCCATGTATAAAAATCATAATGAAACCCATTATAACAAACATACACTAATGGAAACATTCGAGGCCAGCCTGATCTACAGAGTGAGTTCTAGGAAAGGCGCAAAGCTACACAGAGAACCCTGTCTCGAAAAACCAAAAAATAAATAAATAAATAAAGTATGCATATGAAGGCTTTTTAGCATGTTAATTATGCACCATGAATATGTAGACTCCGAAGTCATGTGACAGGGCGTCATCCATTAGAAAAAGCCTCAAGAAGAAAGCCCCAAGCGGTGGCACGCACCTGTGACCCCAGCACAGAGGGGGCTAAGGCAGGAGGGCTAGCAGTTTGAAGCCAGCCTAGGCAACAGAGCAAAACCCTGTCTAAGGAAAGGAGGGAAGAAAGGAGAAGAAAAGGGGGTGAAGAAGAGAAACTCAGATTAAAGAGTCTAGAGACAGGTTCCAGTCCTAACGATATCTTTAGCTTTATGACCCTCTCAACCTTCCTGAATCCCTGTTCATTCTGATTGTTGTGGTGGTGGTGTGTGTTACTAGCAATTGAACCCAGGGCCTTGTGCATGCCAGCAAGTATTATACCAATGAACTATATCCCCAGCCCAACATAAAGTCCTTTCCCTCCCTCTCTCGATGGTAGTGAGAGAGCCAACACAGGTCCCATGCAGCCCAGGCTGGCTTTGAACTTACTATGTGGCTGTGACTGATCTTCAACTCCTGATACTCCCCTCTCCACCTCCTTAGTACTGGGGTTACAGGTGTGCACCACCAGCACCCCCTTCTCTTTCTGGAAAAACAACACTAACGGGTTAGACTCTAACCATTTCAACATTTACATCAAGGTGTCTGGGGTGTGTACCAGTCCTTCATTTATTCTCCCAGGCAATAAGTATGCACCCCTAAGATGCCTAGTCCTGGATAGGTGTTCTGGGAGAGCAGCACCCAGGTTGGAATGAAATGTCTGTTGTTTATTCTTTGCACAAGGAATCAGTCATCTTGGGCAACCGAGGAAGGGCCGAGGGATCTGCAAGCCGGCCAGAAACAAGCCCAGCCTGACGGGGAGTGTGTGACCTCTGAAGAGCAGCCACAGCCAACCATGCAAACCAAGGACCAGCAGGAGAGGTGGCAGAGCACCGAGGCCAAAGAGATTCATCCCACCACCGAGAGCTGCCAGGTAGCCATGGGAGATCAGGATCAGGCACCACGTGGTACAAAGGGGTCCCCTGTGCTCCCAACACAGATGTGGCTGTCTTGGTAGAGGCTGTATACTGGAGCTGGCAGACACTTAGTCTCTGTGAGACACTGAGTGGTTCTGGGAGTTGATATCAAAGTGTTCTTCAGGTCTTTACAGAGAGGCCCTCTGGGTGTCTTGGGGACAGGGTGGGGGTGAGGATTGTGTGACAGATGATGGGAAGTGCTGAGTTTAAGAGATTGCTGTAACACCTCCCACCCCATGGTCACTGAACCTTTGCAAGATGTGCTGGCCTTTCCAAAATTTTTACTGGAACAGATTTTTCATTTTTTTTAAATTTATTTATTTATTATGAACCAGGAGGTGGCAGCACACACCTTTAATCCCAGCATTTGGGAGGCAGAGACAGGGGGATCTCTGAGTTTGAGGCTAACCTGGTCTACATAGTGAGTTCTAGGGTAGCCAGGGCTACATAGAGAGACCCTTTCTCAAAGCAAGAACAAAACAAAATCAAAATATATATGTATTATATGTATGCATATATATATATACATATATGTTATGATACAAAATACACACACACACACACACACACACACACACACACACACACACACACACAGAGGTATAAAATCAGGGGCTGGAGAGATAGCTCAGAAGTTAAGAGCACTTGCCTGGCGGTGGTAGTGCATGCCTTCAATCCCAGCACTCGCAGCACTCGGGAGGCAGAGGCAGGAGGATCTCTGTGAGTTCGAGGCCAGCCTGGTCTACAGAATGAATTCCAGGACAGCCAGGGCTACACAGAGAAAAATCTGTCTGGGGGGGGGCGGGGAGAAGAAGAAGAAGAGCACTGGCTGCTCTTCCAGATGATGACTCATAACCACCTGTAACTCTAGGATCCAGTGTCATCTTCTGGCCTCCAAGTACACATACATACACATTCACACAGACAGATACACATAAATAAAAATACATCTTTAGGCCAGGTGGTGGTGGAGCATACCTTTAATCCCAACACTTAGGAGGCAGAGGCAGGAGGATCTCTGTGAGTTTGAGGCCAGCCTGGTCTACAGAGCAAGTTTCAGGACAGCCAGGGTTACACAGAGTAACCCTGTCTCGAACCACCTCCCCCTCAAAATCTTTAGAAAAAAATATATAATGTATAATAATAGAAGAAGTGTGTGGAGTTCTGTTTTTTGAAACTCCTCTAATAAGTCAGAAGTAGCTCTTCTAAGGCCATCTTCTTAATTCCTTAGGCTCTGAATCTCCCCACTCAGGGCAACACGGATCAACATTTGGAAAAGCCATGCACCTCGGACAGCAGGAGTCAGCCACTAGAGGATGACCCCCTCAGTGAAGCAGGCCTATCAGAGGTCAGGTTGCAGGAGCCCATGCCAACACCCAGCTCAGGGACACACAAGAACAGCTCCCAGGAGGCAGTGCCCCCCAAACCCACGGCGACTGCAGAAGAAAAGAAGGCCCCTCCCATCTTGAGATCTGCACCAGGACCTCGAACACACAAAGAGGGGTAAGTCATCGCCCAGGGCCACCTCTGCCCTGCTTGCTGCTCCCTCTACCTACCAGTGGCTCTTCAGCTAAGTAACACTGGAGAAGGGCCAGGGAGCCAGCTCAGTTGGCAAAGGGTCTACTCTGCAAGATGAGGACCTGAGATTAATTTCCCAGATAAAACACTGAGCACAGAGGCACGTGCTTGTCATCCCAGCACTACAGAGATGGTGACAGGTGGATCCTGGGACCATGACGGGCCAGCTAGCCTAGCCAGTTCTAGGCCAATGAGAGGCCATGTCTCAAAACAACATGGAGGCTGAGGGGACGGTTCAGTGGGTAAAGGTGCTTGCTGCTAACCTGAAGACTTAAGTTCAATCCTCAGGGACTCCGTTGTCCTCTGACCTCCACACTTGTGCTGTGGAATGCACATACACACACACTCACATACACACAATAACAAATAGCTGGGTCAGTGAGAGGGCTCAGCAGGTAAAGGTGCTTGCTGCCAAGCCTGGTGGCCTGAGTTTGATCCCCCCAGACAGATTCCCACGGATTGTCCTGATTTCCACATGTGTGCTAACATAAAATGAATAAACACATGTAATTTTCTTTTTTTATTTTCTATTTTTCAATACAGGGTTTCTCTGTGTAGCCCCGGCTGTCCTGGAACTCATTCTGTAGACCAGGTTGGCCTCGAACTCACAGAGATCCGCCTGCCTCTGCGCCCCCACCACCCCCATCCCAGCCGAGTGCTGGGATTAAAGGCGTGCACCACCACCACCTGGCTTTCTTTTAATTTTCTGTGCACATTTGTCTGTGTGAGGGTGCCAGATCCTCTGGAATTAGAGTTACAGACAGCTGTGAACTGCCATGTGGGTGCTGGGAATTGAACCCCGATCCTCTGGAAGAGTAGCCAGTGCTCTTAACCGCTGAGCCATCTCTCCAGCCCCAAACGTAATTTTAAAAAACTACAAGTATAAAACAGTGTGGTGTTTTTCATGTTTCTGGCCCACTGAAGCACCTTGGTTAAGTCACATGCTGATAGGCCTCAAGTCCCCCCTCTTTGATCTGGGGGTGTGTCTGCGTGCAAGTAAGACAATGAGGGGACACTGGGGTGAAAGCAGAGGGGTGAGGCTAGGGTAGCAGGACTGAGCGTGCTGAGGGTTCGGGGTCAGTGTAAGGGGCAAACCCTGACCTGAAACCCTGCCACCCCCCCATGGCGGGGGGTGTTCTTCTCTGTTTAGAGGTGAAGCTGTGGAGACCAAGGCAGCACCAAGGCCTCTTCCTCCACCAGTGAGTAGAGTCAGTGGGGATGAGGAGATCAGAGAAGGGGAATGGGGGGAATCTGGAGGTAAAATGGTGGAAACAAACATTTCCAGGCAAACTGGGGCAAGTGTGGGCGTAAACCCGTGCACGTACTATGTGTGTGTTTGATTTTTAGTTCATCCTTTCTAATTTTTAAAAAATTACATGTACTACGGTGTGTGCATAGGAGCACCACATGTCCCATGCCACAGGAGTGGAGGGTCTCTCCTTCCACCATGTGGACCCTGGGGACCAAACTCAGGTCAGGGTTGGTGGCAGGTGCCCCTCCCTACTGAGCCATCTCAAAGTCAAATGATGGGTTTTTGAGACGGGTCTCCTGTAACCCAAGCTGCTCTAAAACTCCCTATGCAGCAAGAATGATTTCAAAACCTTAACCCCTCTGGTCTCTGCTTCCCAGAAGCTAGGAGTATGTGTGTGTGCTGCTGGGCCCAGTGTGTCTGCTTTGGATGGACAGTCAAAAACGGATCACACTCAAGGGCCCTCGAGTCCATCCCCAGGACTGCTCCACATCAGCACGGATTCCTTCTGCCCTTTGCCCTCAGTTCCCATCCACAGCTTCTCCCGAATACCTGCTGGCTTCCAGCCAGCCCCACGATGCCCGCTCTGCCACTTTCTGGTCTCCGAGTTGATGGTACAAGCTTAGAATTCCCAGCCTGCCATCATCCTTCAGCCCTCACCACACCTGCCTATCTTCAAACCACATCCCCAGCCACACCCCAGCCCTGAACATTGCAGCCGAGCACACTGTGATGCACAGGCTTGCCGCTGACTTCTCTTTGAAGTGACCATGTGTGTAGTTTACTTAGCTGATGCCTAGCAACGTTGCCCTCTACCTCCACCCCACCGTGTCCTTGCAGCCTCCAACAAGTGCCACTGTAGAAAATAGGATGAAAAGACCCAGCCTTGGGGCTGGAGAGATGGCTCAGTGGTTAAGGGCACTGACTGCCCTTTCCAAAGGACCTGAGTTCAATTCCCAGCACTCACATGGCAGTCACAACTGTCTGTAACTCCAGGATCCAATACCTTCACACAGATATACATGCAGTCAAAAACACCAATGCACACAAAACAAAAATAAATAATTTTTAAAAAAGAAAGAAAAGGTCCAGCCTCAGCCAGGCCTTTAATCCCAGCACTTGGGATATAGAGGCAAGTGGATCTCTGTGAGTTCAAGGCCAGCCTTGTCTACAGATAAAAGTTCCAAGACAGTCAGGGATAGGGATATACAGAAACTCTGTCTCAAAAAAAAAAAAAAAAAAAGAAAAAAGAAAAGAAAAGAAAAAGAAAGAAAGAAAGAAAGAAGAAAGCAAGAGCCATGAAGTTAGGAGGGAATGAGGCTCAGTTGATAGTTCGCTTGGCACACACTCCTAGATTGGATCCCCATACTTCACAAACCAGGCATGGTGATTCATGCCTGTAATACCAGCACCGGGGAGCCTGCTGAAGGAAGAGGAGAAGTTCACGGTCAATCTCATCTATACAGGAAGTCAAGGCTGTTCAAGTTGTTAGTTTATTAAAGTGTGCGTTGGGGAGAGATGGTTCCACAGGTAAAAGCCCTTGCTAACAAACCGGACAACCTTAGTTCCATCAGAGGGACCCACAGGTTGGAAGGAGACAGCCAACTATTTGTCCCCGGCTTTCACTTGGACACCACGACACCTGACCTGCTTCATGTGAATACATATACAGACAAGTAATTGTACATGTAGCCTGGTGTGGTGGCGCACACCTTTAATCCCAGCACTCAAGAGGCAGAGACAGGCAGATACAGAATTCAAGGACAGCCTGGTCTACAAAGAGAGTTTGAGACCAATCATGGCTACACAGTGAGACCATGTCTCAAAATCAATTCATTAAGTAAATACATGTAATTAAAAGGCCAGAAGGATGCACTAGCATGACCTACATTCAACCCACACAGTGGAAGGAGACAGCTGACTCTCAAGTTGTCCTCTGACCTCTGATGGCACATACATGTCCGTTCGCACCTTCCACACACCCCTTTGGAACTCAGGGCACCTGGATCTCAGGGCTCTTCCTGCTTCACAGCTGGCCTCCCAGCCTGCCTCCCTGGTTCCTCTGCACTCTCCTCTCTCCTCTCCCCCGGGAGGACTGCATCCAGTCCCTCTGCTCACTCCCAAATCCGAATCTCCATGCCAGACTTAGTCTTGAAACTCCCAGCTCATATACCCAACTTGCAGATAGAGTGAGTTCACCCCTCAGACTGCAGACCAGGGCAGAGTCTTGTACCCCCACTGCAGTTGCTTGGTTTTGTTTTACTCTTAGGGAACCCACCACCCAGCTCCCAAATAAATACAGGAGGCTTATTCTTCCTTATGAATGCCCAGCCTTAGCTCGGCTTGTTTCTAGCCAGCCTTTCTAACTTTAATTATCCCGTTTCTCTTATTACATTTTGCCTCTGGGCTGTATCCTTTCTTTATTCTATGTGTCTTTCCTTCTTACTCCTGGCTGGCTGTGTGGCTGGCGGCTAGCCCGTGGAGTCCTCTTTTCCCCTTTCTCGCTCCTCGCTCCTCTATGGAGCCTAGATTTCTCCTCTTATTTATTCTCTCTGCCCACCAGCCCCACCTATCACTCTCTCCTGCCTCGCTATTGGCCATTCAGCTCTTTATGAGACCAATCAGGTGTTTTAGACAGGCACAGTAACACAGCTTCACAGAGTTAAACAAATGCAACATAAAAGAATGCAACACATCTTTGTATCTTAAACAAATATTCCACAGCATAAACAAACGTAACACATCTTAAACTAATATCCCACAACGCCCCCTTTCCCACCCACTCCTGACCCAGTCTTTGCCTCAGCAAAGCCCCCCCCCCACCTCCAGCCCTCCACCCAGAACTTAGGAGTCAGCTCAAAATGGCTCTTATTCCCCTTATCTCTGTACAACCCCTTCACACTCAGTGCATCAGCAATCCCTCTCAGCCCTACAAAGTCATTTCTGAATCCATCTCTTCCCAACCCCCATCACCCAGTCCAAGCTTTTTCCTTGTAGAGTAAGTCCCCAAATCACCCAAACACATAGGCTCCATGTCTAGCTACTCTGGTGCGATTTCTATCCTGTAGGTACGCCAAGCTGATTTCCCTCAGGACCTTTGCACATGCTGCTCCATATGCCTGTCTCCCCATAGATGCTGCCCTGACTAATTCTTCCAAGTTGTTTAGGCTTCAACTTGAATGTCACCCTCTCAGCAAAGTTTTTTCCTGACCACCCAATCTCAATATCCCATCAGCCATGGCTACTCTGTCGTAAATATCCTATTTTGTTGTCTTTGTAGTACTTTGAGGTTGGGGGGGGGGGGGCAGTGTTTGCCTGAATATATGCCTGTGCACCACATGTATGCAGTTCTCAAGGAAGCCAAAAGAGGGCGACAGATCCCCTGGTACTAGAGTTAGAGATTAAGCGCCTCCAGGTGGGAGCTGGGATTAAAGGTGAGAGCAGCACCATGCCCAGCTTTGCTTTGCTTTTACAAAAGGAAGCGGGTGGGGGGCAGGAGTGGGGTGGGGATGCACCTCAAAGTGCTTCTGTTATCAGTGAGGCCTCGGGTTCGATCCTTAGCACCAAGAAAAGGATGCTGATGGGAATAAGTAATGGAGAAAGGCTGGTCTGAAGCAGGTAGGCTGACCCAGTGATGGTAGGGATGGATGGCAGATCTAGGCATGGCTCTCTCTATGGAATGGATGAGGACGAGTATTTGGAGTGTCCATTATGTGCTGGAGACACCTGTGTGAAATAGACGTCAGGAGTGAGGCAAGGTCACTGCCAGCTGTGTGGGCAGCAGTGAAGGAAATTGGCTCACTCAGGAACATAGCTTGCAGGTGGGAGGTGGTGAGTGAGTCACTTGTGGACCCAGAACGCCACATGGGTCCTGGGTTGGTACATGGAGACCTGAAGTACCTTCTCCACGGCTTTGGAGAGGAAAGGACAGTTTGAGCATCCCCAGAGGCTCTGCAGGAGGCTAGAAGCTCTGTAGGTCAGTCTGACTGGCTGGAGGTATCCCACATGCCCTCCCCTGCCCTTAGGAGTTAAGAGACACTGTTGAGAAGAAGGAGCCGGGCCAAGGGCAGAAGCACCGACACCAGGCTTCGGCAGCTGCAGGCACCCAGGGCCCTGGGAACCCTCGTCGGGGCTTCATGAAGTGCCTGCTGGAGGTGGAGGAGCAGGAGGAAGCCACCCATCGGAGGACTTTAAAAACCCGGACTCTGACAACCCGGAGGTCCCCCAGGACCCTGACTTCTGTCCCCACCTCAGGCCCCATCAGCAGCTCAGTCCCAACCTTGCCTCTGACCCTGCTTGAGCCCTCCACCTCAGCTCCAGCGACTGTCCCACTGTGGGCCAGACCACCAGCCCATGGGCAAGCCCCTGCCTCTGTAGGATCCCCTGGCTCAGTCCTGTCAGCCCCCACCCAGGACCTGAGCTGGAGATGGCCAGAGTTCTTACCCCAGAGCAATGAGAGAACCCTGAACTATGCCAAGACACGGTAGGAGCCCCCTCCACTAGCCCACCATCTCGACAGGGCCCCCCCACTTCCAGTCTGTTTCCAGTGTGGACCCTCTGGTCCTTGTCCCTGCTCAGTCCCTCATGAGCCCCCCCTCCCCTTAGTCTCCTTTCTGTGCTTCCCAGCAGGGGTCCCCCAAGTTTCAGGCCCCTTTTCCACTCCCTCCCCTCCTCCTTTCTCTTCTTCCTGATGCTGGGGGTGGAAGTCAGGGGTTCACACACACTAGACAAACCCTGTACTGTACCCCCAGTCTCCCCACCACCACCACCAAATGCACCCCTGTGGCTCTGCCTCACTCCCTTGGGTGGGTCTCTCCTATCACTTGTGGCTTCTCACTACCAGAGTCCCTCAGGGAAGTTTCCCTAACCTCTGCTGCCCCGGCTTCCTCTCCCCTGACTTTGGGTAGCCTTGGCAGGGGCAGGGGCAAAGGCAGGCAGGAGGTGGTGGTAAACTGTCCTGGACCCATTGTCCTGCAGGCAGGAGCCAGAAGAGCATGGCCTCTTCAAACTGTATCAGAGCTGGGAGGAGCGGTCTGAGGAGCACCTCACCCTGAAGCAAGAGGAAGGTGAGCGCCTCACACCATTGCCCTGCTCATCCACTGTCCCATCACACCAAGCAGTGTCCCCAGCAGGGGGTCAACCATGACTTGGCCTAGGACACAGAAGAGGAGGTGGGCCACCTCCCCCACTCCACCAGTCCTCTTTTTTTGGGGGGGGGTTTTTTGAGACAGGGTTTCTCTGTGTAGCTTTGCACCTTTCCTGGAACTCACTTGGTAGCCCAGGCTGGCCTCGAACTCACAGAGATCCGCCTGGCTCTGCCTCCCGAGTGCTGGGATTAAAGGCGTGCACCACCACCGCCCGGCATCCACCAGTCCTCTTTAGAGGCAGCTTGGAGGGGAGACAGGGTCCCCAGGAACTCTACCCATCCGAGATAACCCCTCTCCATTTAACAAGGCCACCAGCCCCCAACAAGTCCCTACTTCCTATCCCACCCTACCCCACTAACAAAACTGAACAGTGCTGAACTCCTACCCTGAGAGAGGGCTCTATGGTCCTTGGGGATGCCCCCTGACCCTACTTTCTCATGCTGGGTTGGCCCTAGAAGAATGGATGAGTACTATTGTGGGATATTTGATCAGACTGTGAACCTTGAGATTGTGTTAATTAAATAAAATCAACCTTGGGTCAAGAGGTGGAGTCAGCAACTAGTTCATAGGAAGTAGCCACAGAGAAAGAGAATAAGAGGGGGTTTGGGAAACGGATAGAGAAATGCACAGGAAGCAGTGAGGAGGGACTTTGGAACCTGGAAGTTTTTTGGTTTGGGATGATGAAAGAGATGCTCTCTTTCTGAGATGCCAGCTAAGGAGGAAGGTCAGCTGGTTGCTCCTCAGCCTCTCTGAGCTAGCAGGTTTTCACCCCAGCATCTGACCCCCGAGTCTTTATTGGTAAAATCATAAGATTGAGATTTAGTTTAAAAACAACAGTTTTCAACCGCTTCACACTCCTCCCTAAGGTCTAGAACCTTCTCGATCATAGCGGCTTCTTTCCTCAGATTTTCCAGGATGCTTTCACTGACCCAAGGGAATAAAACAGAGAAATATTGCTGGATACCTATGTCCTCCTCATGACATGCACACACATGCACAAAGCACACCACACTTACTACACACACCACATGCCACACAAAAGTTAAAAAAAGAAGAAGAAATGCAGGAGTGTCCCACTTGTTACCCGTCTCCCTTGACAGCCTTCCGCAGCTACTTTGAGATCTTCAACGGCCCTGGTGAGGTTGATGCGAGAAGCCTCAAGAACATCTTGCTCCTAATCGGCTTCACCCTTACCCCAAGCCAGGTGGAAGAAGCCCTGATGAGTGCCGATGTCAATGGTGAGCAAGGGGGTCTTCCCTGAGCCCCACAGAGGGGCCGGACCCACATGTGGGTTCCTTGCTGGAAGGATCTCTGCTTGGTGTAAAGCTCTGGGTCAGAGTCCAGTGTCCCTGACATCTGAACCCATTGTGTCTGCACTTTTCTTCCGCCCTGGGTCTCACAAAGACTATAGCAAGCGGGCCCTGGTTCTGGAAGTTAATGTGCCCTGAACCACTGTGCAGTACCACCTTCTGGGGATCCAGAGGTGACCAGGACCTACCTCCTGACCGATGGTGTAGGTAACCTCAGGAGCCTCTGCACATCAAGTATTCCTCCATGACCCTTGATTTCTTTTATCAGCCTTTGGTCAAGTCACTACAGCTTGCTAGGCCTCAGTTTATCTGTCTATAAACTGGAGCTATTAGTAGCAACCTCCTCATCAAGTTCTGTAAGATAAAATAGGGTGAGCCAGGCAAAGGGTGGGACAGAGCAGCTGTTAGCATTACCTATGCAACAAGTATGGAATGCCTTCTGTGGGTGTTCCTGTGCAAGGTACCAAGACACAGGAGCCCTGCTGTCCTCAAGGGTGCCCAGGCAGTTCAAGCCACAGGGCAAGGGTTGACACAGAAGTTAAGCAAAACACATGGAAACAAGTTACAGCAGCTTGGAAGATGGGGGTCAGGAAGGAAGGCTTCCTGGAGGAGGTGCCACTCAAGCCAAGTGGTGCCAAATCAAACAGGAGTCAGGCAAAGAGAGAAGGAAGCAGTAGTCCCTGAGATGTGGGCGCGAGGCACTTGCAGATGGCGGGGTGTGGCCAACACAGGGAAGAGGAGGGCCATGCAGGACCTGCGTCCTGACCACTGCTCCCAACTGCTCCCTCTGCCACTGCACAGACTCCTCACACACACTTCACGGGGTGTGGTGAAGCAGCAAACTGTTGACCTAGGAAGACAAAGGTTCTGGGATTCAACCGTAGCAGACCAGCTCTGCCCGATGTGGACAGGACAAGAGCCTTGAGCCCCACCTGTGGCCAGGGTTTAAGCATCCTGCCCCTGTCTTTTTTGTGTGTGTTTGTTTTTCGAGACAGGGTTTCTCTGTGTAGTTTTGGAGCCTTTCCTGGATCTCACTCTGTAGACCAGGCTGGCCTCGAACTCACAGAGATCCACCTGGTTCTGCTCACCGAGTGCTGGGATTAAAGGCGTGCGCCACCACTGTCCTGCCCGTCCTTACGCCTTAGTCCATTGTCAAGCAGCTCAGAGAACATCAACCGAGTTCCCAGCAGCTTGAGCCCTAGGACACAGCTTAGGACAAAATGTACAGTCCTTGTCCATCAGAGTCTTCTCTAAGTTCCAGATTTCACATGCTTTAGGAGACAGTCTGGTGAGGGATCTGACCCGATTTGAACCTCTGAGAAAGGAGAGGTGACATGGCTTAGCTGTAAACATGCTTGCCACAAACATGACCTGAGTTTGACCCCTGGGACTCACATGGTGGAAGGAGAGAACTGACTCCCAAAAGGTGTATTCTCACCTCAACACCTGTGATGTGACCAGCATACTGCCTCCCCTCACATAAAATAAATAAGATGTAATAATGAGGAAACATGGGACCAGGGAGCAGCACAAAGACCTTGAATGGGAAGAATGTGGCCTTCTGGGAAAGTAGCTCTACTGCTGTGGAGCATGGCGTGAGACGAGGCTATGGACGGGAGCCTGGTGGATCCTGCAGTAGGTCCATATTCTCATGCAGAGACCAGCACTCAGTAATGACAGTTGCCAGCCTTTAGTGGGCATGTGCTACGCATGCAGCCCTGTGATGACCGTCTCCGCTCGCTCCACAGTGAGAGAACTAAAACTTGACCCGGGTCCCATGAACGCGAAGTGGTGGACTTGGGTTTTGAACTCACACTTGCTGTCTCAAGAATGCAAGGTCCAGGGATGGGAGAGATGGCTCAGTGGTTAAGAGCACTGACCATTCTTCCAGAGGACCCGAGTTCAATTCCCAGCACCCACATGACAGCTCACAACTGTAATTCTAGTTCCAGGGAACCCAACACCCATGGCAAAACACCAATGCACAAAAAATAAAAACAAAATACAGGTCCAGTCGTTTCTTATATTCCTTCAGGCTGGCATGGAGCTGGCTATGTAGCCGAGGATGACCCTGAAGTATTAACCTTCCTCCCTCCACCTCCAGGTTGACGTGGTACTGGGGAACCGAACCCTGCATTTTGTGCATGCTAGGCAAACACTCTACCAACTGAGCTACAAGCCATGTCCTGGCCCAATAGTTTCCAACCAGAAGATTGTAATTTTTGGCTTCTCCGGTCCACATTTTGTGCTGATTCAGCGCTGCCATTACAATCTGCCCCCCCCCCACTCCCCCCACCCCCCCACAATAACACAGGACACCAGGGCCTACACCTGGCTTGCAGTACCTGGGCCTGCTGCGGAGGGCCTGTTCACCCTATTATTTCTCTGACACTGCAGGAGATGGTCATGTGGATTTCAAAGACTTCTTGGCAGTGATGACAGACACCAAACGCTTCCTCTGCTCTGTGGGTAAGGAGGGGTCAGCCCAGGGCAGTCAGACTGGAAGCAGGATCTGGAGGCTGATGGGGTACATCAGAAGCCATCTAAGAGTAATGGCAGCCACTATTACGTGTCCCCAGAACAGAATGTCCTGATGGATATGTCGCCCCCGAACCCCTACACACTGTTCTTTGAGATCCTCTCTCTGCTGGTGGAAATGCTGGCCCTGCCGGAGGTGGCCCTAGAGGAGATCACGAAGTAAGAGGGGCTGTCTTGCTGAGGGTGGGGCACGTAGACAGAAGTGGCAGCTAGTGCTTCAGCAGCTGAAGATGGTTGAGGGTTAAGGCTCTCAGTTGCAACTGAAAGAAAACTCCAATTAGGCTGCCGTAAGCAGAAGAGGAATGCATTGTTCAAATAATCAGCTAGGGCCTCAGGAATGGCTGGATCCAGGAAACTGGGTGACAGCAGTCAAGTTTTATTTCTCCACCTCTCCATCTCAAGGTGCTGGCTTCAAGCTCAGCCAGGCTCTCCCAGTGGGAAGGGTGACAATGGCAGCCCCATGCTCACAGTCGTCCTGGTTCAGCAGTTTTAGCAGGACGACAGTGATCCTTCTTGAAGCACTTGAACACTCTTAGAAAAGGAATCTTGCAGGAAGGGTGTTGGGCAGGTAGTGGGCAGCTGGGCCTCCAGGAAGGGTGATGGGCAGGTAGTGGGCAGCCCAGGAAGAAATGACTACAGGCTAAATATGATTGCTCTCAGGCTAAAAGCCATGGGTGGAGTTGGAAGGCCCAGCTGATCTCTGAACCTCGCCCTCTACTTCCTGTCCTGAATGAGCATATTTTAATACTTGCTGGGTCATAATGGTAGATTTATTTTTAGCCTTTTGAGAATTCTCCACACTGATTTCCAGAGTGGCTGCACCAGTTTTCAGTCCCACCAACACTGGGTGAGGACTCTCCTTCCTACCCGTCCTCGCCAGCATCTGTTGCCAGCTGTTTTCTTGATCTTCACTATTCTGACTAAGGCTAAAATGAAATCTCAAAGTTGTTTCAAAGTGAATTTCTCTAATTGCTGCTGCTGCTGCTGGATACACTTTGAGGTCTGTCTTAGCCATTTGTATTTCTTTTGAGGACTGTTTACATCCTTAGCCTGGTTTTTAATTGGATGGTTTGTTTTCTTGACTTTTTGTTTAGTTTGGTTTTCCAAGACAGGGTTTCTCTCCATAGCCCTGGCTGCCCTGGAACTCGCTCTAGAGATCAGGCTGGCCTCGAACTCAGAGATCCACCTGCCTCTGCCCCCTGAGTGCTGGGATTAAAGGTGTGCGCCACCCCCACCCGGCTTTTGAATATATTCTCTGTATATTCTGGATATCACTCCTTGGCAGATGTATACAGCGGGCACGGATTCTCTCCCACTCTGCAGGCTTCCTCCTCCCTCATTGTCCCTCACCTGTGCAGAAGAGTTAGCCAGGGTTAGAGCACTGGCATCATAAGACATCACAGCGGCCCAGATCTTTTCTTCGTATACGCGGACAGGGCTGTCATATGTCAGCTAATGTCACTCATTTTTTTTTTTTTTTTTTTTTTTTTTTTTTTTTTTTTTTTTTTTGGTTTTTCGAGACAGGGTTTCTCTGTGTAGCTTTGCGCCTTTCCTGGAACTCGCTTTGGAGACCAGGCTGGCCTCGAACTCACAGAGATCCGCCTGGCTCTGCCTCCCGAGTGCTGGGATTAAAGGCGTGCGCCACCACCGCCCGGCCTATGTCACTCATTTTTGAGAAAACATCTACCAAATACCAGAGGATAAATAACCATGGTTCTTCCTCCTGTTTCCTCCCACCCCCTTGGTGGTCTCATGTAGTCCAGGATGGCAATCCTCTTGTCTCAGATCCCCAAACTCTTGGATTACCCCCTCCTTCCTGTGGTCCCACCTTCCCTTTCACTCCGTCACTGAGCTATACCTGGAGCCCAGGGATTTGTGCTTCTTTCTATGACGCAAGGTGGCTGCTGAGCTCCCAGCTCATGTGCACAAGTACTTTACTTGAGAGTGACCTTTACAAAACACAGGCTGTAAGAGACTCGGCCCCAGCCGGGCATTGGTGGCGCACGCCTTTAATCCCAGCACTCGGGAGGCAGAGGCAGGTGGATCTTTGTGCGTTCGAGGCCAGCCTGGTCTACAGAGGAAAGGCACAAAACTACACAGAGAAACCCTGTCTCAAAAGAGAGAGAGAGAGAGAGAGAGAGAGAGAGAGAGAGAGAGAGAGAGAGAGAGGGCCCCAGGGTAAAATGGGAGAGTTAAGTTCTTCCTTTCTGGTGATAGGATCTGTGTTATCCCAAAGGCCAATCATTTTAGGTTGGCCGAGGGTGGTAGTCCACGTTTTTAATCCCAGTACTCAGGCCTTTCCTTGGCAATGAAGGCTCGAACGCTCTTCCTCCAGACAGCTGCTGGGTTTGCTCCCTGCCGTATCTGATAGCTCACCATGAGCAAACAGTCCCTTGTCACTACCCCCATCCCTTCCCCTTCCCTTGGAGCACCCATCACACCTGACACAGAATCTTTACATCTGAATATGGTCTGACTCTGCCATCCTGTGTCCAGGCAGCTGACTCAGAGGCAGAGGGAAGGAAGGGAAGGGGTGGGTGGCACAGGAGAGAGAACACTAGGCTGTGTCACTGAGCTGCACACCCCCTGGACCTGAAAAACGGAGTGGTGGCTTGGGAAGAGAGAGAAATGCCATTGGTGGCCCTCGGTGTTTAATTCCTTTGCACCTCTGGGCTCCATGTGTCAAAAGCAGCCTGCGGCAGCCTGAGATGAACCTTGTAGTCACCCCTACAGAAGTGAGTGCTGCACTAGGGGCTGGAGTAAGAGGCCAGGCTAACACAAATACATGGTCCTTGTGTGTGGCAGCCCTTCACTACTGCAGGCCAGTGGAAACAGTTACCACAGTTTGCTGCTGTATGCACTTAATAAGGTAAAAGGCAAGTGATGAGTTAAAAAGGGAAACACTGAGTGAGTGGGGCATGGCAGCTCATGCATGTAATGTCAGCATGGAGGAGGCAAGAGGTCAAAGGATCACCAGGAGTTTGAGGCCAACCTGGGCTACAGCCAGTTCCAGGACAGCCAAGGTGATATAGCAAGACTGGCCTCCAAATAGAAATAAAAAGCATGTAAGCAAGCTTGGGGTGGGAGCCTGGCCAGTATGCAAGGAAGACAGCAGACTTAAGCCACAGGTTAGGGGTGGAGCCAGCTGCATGGCTGGGTTTGCTGTTTCAAGCATCCCAAGATGGCCTAGAACTCACCATGTGGCCAAGGATGGCTGAGAACTCTGACTGAGCCTCCCACTCAGAGGATTACAGGCATGTGTCACCAAGCTCAATGGGGCAGTTTACCAAGGCTTCCTGCCTGCTAGGCAAGCACTCTAGCAACCAAGCCACACCCCCAGTTCTGTTCAGCTGGTTTACAAGCAGAAATGTATCTAAGCAAAAATATAAGCAACAGGAACAGTTAATACATACCAATCTCTATATGGCTGGTGCCCAGATGGGTCTCATGTCATGTACAATCCTCCAGCATATGCACATTCGGCCCCCATCTTAGCAGTGTGTGGGAAATCTGAAGCTCAGAAGTCACGTGACTCGCAGCGACAGGGTAGATAGAACCATTTCCTTTTATTTCCTAAGAGGACTACATCTCCTGACCCCCTAGGCTTCAGTCCCGCCACACAACTGGCCAGCCAGAACAGGGGGGTCAGGAGGATGGGGGGTTAACCACAGCTAGGCTGAGCTGCCGGGTGGTGCTTCCTCAGCTACTACCAGAAGAAGCTGAAGGAAGGCACCTCCAAGACCCGAGAGACAGAATCGAATATGGGCGGGCTGCGATCAAGGAAGAAACTTCCTTACAATGCTCAGCAGCAAGCAGACAGCTTGGAGGTCCCAGAACGAAGGGTCCTCAGGATCCTGGGCCGGCTGAAGCAGCAGAACTATGGTAAGGGCCAGTGAGTAGCCTGGGCTGGCAAACAGATCCCTGTCCACGTGGCCTGATCCCCCTAGATGAAGCCCAGGGCTTAGCTGTGGGAACCATTACCAAATAGGGCTGGTCCACATCACACAACATCCAGCTCCATGCTTTAGACTCGACCTTCCCACCTTATTGCTAAGCCAAGGCTGTCCCAAGAACTGTGTGAGAGCCCACCAGAGTCAGTTCCAATGCAAGGTCCTTTGTAGATGTGCCCTACAATCGCCCCACTTGACAGAAATGGCAACCAGGGCTATTTCAGTGACTTCCAGCTAGCATGCTGGCAAGGGCAGTTTGCACTCAGGTTCACCCCAAATTGTGTGCTTGGGCAAGCTTCTCTTTAAGGTATGGCAAGCCTTTACTCTATGCTCAGCCTTCAGCATCGTACACATCATCCCTGTCATCTGTGTGCTGGGTACCAATCCCCTCTCCATCTTGGAGGCTCAGACATTAAGGGTTGGCCCAAACTCAACTCTGCTTATCATGTGGCAAACCCACAGTTTCACTGGGCTGGCCATGCTCCCAATTCTCTTGTTCCTGCCTATCCCAGCTGCCAATCTGCAGAGCCCCTATGCCCAGGTGCCCTGCATCCCACTCTGCCCGAGGCTGGAGAAGAAGACGGTCCGTCGAAAGCAGGGTAGCCATAACCATCCTGTGCTGGATCAGTGTGTCTCTACAAGCTTGGGCCCTGACCTCCATGGCCTCCTCTTTCAGTCAGGACAGCAAGGAAGCAGGTGAGTCCTGAGGCCGGGGCCTCTCAGCCCACTTATTATCTGGAAGAGGCCCCTGGGGAATCCGTCTTTCTACGAGACGATGCTGGGAAACTGCTCGCTCCAGGGAGGATAGATGGACAGACAGGGCAGGGAAGAAAGTAACCTTCGCTGAAGCCTGTGTACCAGAGACAGTTTCACAAAAGCCTAAGCATTAAGCAGTCCTGAGCCTGTCATCCTTCTTAGGACAGTGTTGCTCCCCATTTCTCAAGCATGGGAACCCTTTGGCTTTGCTCTAAATGATAAGCTTAGAAACTGGGAAGGGGATGTCCCCTTCCGAGTCCCCAGGACTTGGGATCAGCCCCCCACAAGCCCAACTTCCGGCTCCACTGTTTCTAGAAGCCACCTTTGCCCCGAGTACATGAAATGGTTCGTGAACCTGGCAGGACTCTGGGAAAGGGCCAAATATGCTCTATCTTTCTGTCCACCTCTCCTCCCCAGGGAACACAACTCTGACAGCAGAAAATGGCTTAGCTCCGTGCCAGCCCGAACCCACTGATCATCTGGAATCCTGGCTCCAGAAGTTCAAGGCTTAAAGACAGCTGGGCCGTGGGGCAGGGCCTGGCTTTGGGAGTTTGCTTTCATGGCCTGGTAAGCCAATAAACACCAAGAACTTCAGCCTCTGTATTTGATGTTAGTGAAGGCCCCACTTTTCACCACCCTGTATGACTTACAGAGCTCTAGCATGCCCCCAGGTTTGAGTCTGAGGCAGGACTCACCGAAACTCTGTCTGGGGGAGTTGGGGCTTCCTACTGCAGCGGCCCCTGTCTCCCCACTCAAGACTTGGGAGCCCTACAGTGGCCGGCTTAAGCCAAGTACCCCAGAAAGCCTCAGCCTCTGAAAGGAGCTGGCCTCTAAAGAGCAGGAACCCCCCCGCCCCCCAGGGCTGGACAAGCAACCACAGTATGATAGGAAGCCAGAAATGAGGACAAATGTCTGACAAGTTTAAAACATGTATTTAAAATACAATTTATAAAATGCTTAATCTGCCGACTCAGGAGCCCGAGGTGGGGGTTAGGGTGGGGAGCTGCCCGCTACACCAGCAGAGCGAGACTGCAGGGTGCGGCCCTCCCTCCAGTCCCTTCTGTACAGATGCCCAAGGATCCCCCCTGGGGTCATGTGACCAGAAGCAGGACCCCAGAGGTTTTCTTGAGTCTCTGCTCACCAGGGAGACTGGATGCAGCCCTGCCGGCCCATCCCTGAGCAGAGCACCCCCAGATGGGGCAGAGCAGGGTATGGCAGGGCAGGACAGGGCTGGGCGGGACAGGTGGGCTCTGGAAGGGGCTGATGGCAGCAGATAGGGTGTTGCCTCCTGCCTGCAGGTGGGGAGCACCCTGACTGAGGGGACTGAGAAGGGCTGGTCACCAGACCTGGACCCCCAGCTCCTTTGGTTATAGGCTGACATCAGAGTAGTGGCTCATGGGAAGCGGTTAGCTGGAAGGGCTGAGGCCTGGCTTCTGGGGTCCAGGAAGAGCTGGGGGAACGGACAGGACCATGAAGGCAGACAAAGGGGCAGCAGCCTCAGGTCCTGCCCCGCATCCCCCTGGGGATTTCCAAGCCAAAGCCTGCAACTTACTTAGACAGCAAGAAAGAAAGAAAGAAAAAGGGGAAAAAAGCACTTATGGAGTTAAAGACAACTACAGAAAAAAAAAGGGAGAAACACACACACACACACAAAAAAAAAAAAAAAAACACAAAAACACACAAAATCCAAACCGTTTCCCACGCCCCCAACCTCCCCCAATACCAGTCTGTTTTCCTTCTTTCTTTCTTTCCTCTCGCTCATTGCGCCAGCCACCTCTCCATCTAGGAGGCCAAATGCAAGACTGCTGGTGGGCAGGCACACGTACACTGCGGGCAGGGCCGCCTTTGGCCAGAGTGAGACGGGAGAGCCACCCTGCAAGCTCTCAACATACAGACCCCAGCTGCCCTTAGCTCCTACTAGAGGGGCAGGGCAAGCAGGGTTTCTGCATCCTTCTCCAAAGAAAGGACAGTCTGTCCTCCAACCAGAAACCACTAGCCCCTGTGGGTGGGCCCTAGACTACAAGCTAGTAGCCAACTCCCTTCCTACCCACTCCTGGGGTGGCCAACCCTGTCGCTGAGGCTCTGCTCCAGCTCACTCACAGAAGCCCCTGGTTTCAGGTAGGTCTAGGGCTGTGTTATGGAAGAGACTCTTCCTAAGGGGAAGATGTGGGCCATCACTACAGGGCATAAGCCAGGGGGACCGAAGGTGGTGGGATCCTGCAAAACTCAGCTCATCACCTTGGCCACCATAGCTGCCCTAATCCCACACCACACCACCCACTCCCAAACCTGTGTGCTGGCCAGGAGAGGGGAGGCCATCAGGCTGGCTGAGGGATAAGGCGAAGTGCATGAAAGACTATGAAGCCTGAGAGCACCCAGTGGGACACAGCTGCCCTCTCAAGCCTCTCCCCATCAGGAGCCAAAGCCAATCTCTAGGCTTGGGGACAGAAATGGCCTTCATACCAGCCTCGTTCTGATAAGAAGGGATAGGTCAGCCAAGGCCTCTGAGAAACCTGTCGACCATCTGCCTCTGCAATGCCAAGTTTTTCTTCTTCCAACTCTCCAACTGCTCTATTCCTACGGTACTCATTTCACTTGGGAAATGTACCAGGTATAGTTTCTGAGCCAGGGCCATCAACAAATGTGGCACGCCACAGGTCCTTAAGCGTTCCAGTCTTGCTGGAAGGGACAGGCCTAGCTATCTTCTGACCAGAGCAGCAAAGGCCTGGAGTTGCGAGCCAGACTCTCCTGGGCTTGTACTGACAGCAAACACTGGACAAGTGCCACCACTGCCTGCTTCTGAGCCCGGAGTGCGGTCTCCTCCCCGACGCTCCCTGCCCTGCCTGCCTCTAGAAACAGCAAACCCGGCTGGTAGGGAGCCACCCTGAGGGGTATGGGAAGGGGAAGTCTATCACTTTCCCCATCTCCCACAATACTAGAGGTGAGGTTGGCACCCTCCCCCAGGCTCTGAGCTGTCTCTAGGCAACTTAGCTGGGACTTAGCTGGAGGAAGTGATATAGGCACAGTGCTCGTCTACTGGGGACTCCGGAGCCCCGCCTTTTCTGGGCGGCAGTAGGAAGACAGAAGCTAAGCTCACCAAAATCCTATTGGTTAATGTTTCTAGCAGATTTCCTAGAAACATCTTTAAGTGACTACCAAACTACCCTTTCTCAATTAAAAATTCATTAAACTGCTAAAACTCTTTCCATGCACTTTTTCTTGCAAATCAGATATTTGTATAAACAAAAATAGGAAGAAAAAAAAAAGGAAAGGATATTTTCAATGGAACTTACTTTTAAGTGATGGCGACATGCACTTGGGGTGGGTGGGGGAAGTTCTCATTTGTGTTTTGAAATCCCAAATTAATGAGCATGATAAACTGTTATTGCTGGCACTGGCTGGACCCCAAGTGGCACTGTCTGACCCTCGACGCTGAGTCCTTGGTAGGTTCCCCCAATCCTCCCCTAGTCCCCACCCTTTCCCTTTCTATTGACTTGGGATAGCCCTTGTCAACATGCCAATCACAGTGGGAAGGGGGGGAGGCAGAGGTCACAGTGCATGGGGTTCAAGGTCACAGTGGGCGGAGCAAGGGGGATCACAGTGCAAGTAAGTCAGGTCGTTCCCTTTGCTCAAGTCCAGATGTCTGCCACGGCAGTGCGACCCATGGCAGACAATCCAGGAGGCGACGGTGGCGGCAGCGGTGGCAGCAGCATCCTTTCTTGCCTGCATTTATCTGCGATGTTTGAAGCCTTGTGACCCATCAGGACCCAAAGGCTGTCTGATCACATTACTGGGCTGCCTGCTGTCTTCGGGTTGGGAGATCCTGGTTGGCCTAAAGGAAGATAAGAGGAAGGCCTTGAGGATATAAAAGATGCCCAAATAATATTATTTGCTGAGCACAGGAACATGTGTGCACAGGTGTGTGTATGGCCAAGACCGTCAGGTGTCGTCCTCTACTGCTCTCCACCTTATTCTTCAAGACAGGGTCTCACTGAACCTGGAACGCACCAATTGACTAGGCTGGCTGGCCAATGAGCTCCAGGGATCCATTTAGCCCTTCTACAGCCTTCTACCCCACCCAGCGTGGGGTTACAGTCACCTGTAGCCTTGCTCGGCCTTTATGTGGGCGCTGGGGATTCAAACTGGGGTCCTCTTGCTTGTGCTGCAGCACTAACACCAAGTCCCTTCCAGTTTCAAGTCCCTGAACCTTAAAATCAACCTATGGTTGAGGGTGGGGTGACCAGCCAACTGGAGGTACTGAGCCTACTTCTTTGGCAAGCAGACTAGGGACATTTTCCACTGTGGCAGCTCCTGTGGGAAGGAGCTAACGGTCCACGGTCTATGTTAACTTCTAGCAATTACAGCACTGCCTACTTTTCATTTGCCTTGACTTATCTGTAAGTAGAGGGAGTATGTACACCCCATCCCAGGGTGGGAGGAGCCATGGGCACCACATCTTCCACAGAACCAACTGCCACAGACTGTTCCAGTGTTGGGCCCCTAGCTCTGCACTCAGGAGCAAGCTGGCACCACCTGTCTGCCTCCTTCATCCCTCCAAACCATAAGGCTAGCTGCTGACTCCTAGTACTAGAGAAGACAGAAGGAAATGGACTTGCCCATTCCAGACAGGTGCAGACTAAGAGGAGAAAACAGAATGGATGTTCCTTCAAAACAGACCGCACTGGACATGGTGGCACATGCCTCAAACAGCACTGGGGAGGCAGGAGGACCACCCTGAGAGCAAGGCTGGCTGGGCTACACTGAATTCTACGCCAGCATGTGTGAGAACCTGGTTTCAAAAAGCCAAAAGGCAAACCAAACCACCACCAAGAAGGTACAGACTTCCTTGTCCTCAATCAACTGTCCAAGCCCAGAAGAGCAAGCCAAAGATGGCCTCAGGGTGGAGGACTGGGGTCAATCGTGGAGACAGGCTGCCTGCCAACAGTGTAGTCCCTAACACTGGGGAGAAAAGAAAAAACAAGAGTCTGGTGTGGTGTGGCTATAACCCTACCACTGGGGAGGCTGAGGCAGGAGGACTGCCAGGCCAGCCTAGGCTACAGGGTGAAACTATATCAAAAGACAAAACTCACGGGCTGGACACGTGTTTTAGCAGAGTACTTGCCTAGCATGTATGAAGCCCTAGGTTTGATTCCAGGTCTATATAAACAGGGTGATGTGGTACACGCCTGGAATCCCAGCGGTCAGGAGGTAGAGATAGAAGGATCAGCATTCAAGGTTATCCTTTATACAGTAGTGAGTTTGAGGCTAGCCTGAACTACATGAGGCCCTGTCTCAAACACAGGCTTTTGTATGTTCATGTGTGCATGTATGTGACAATATCTGGTATTTTCCTCAATCTTCAATCATTTTCTTTAAAAAAAAAAAATCTTAAACTTATTGTATGTATGTACATGAGTGTCCACGTGCACCCCAAAGCATGAGTATGGAGGTCAGAGGACAAACTGCCGGGGCTGGTTCTCTCTCCACTGGGAGGGTTCCAGAGACTGGACTTAGGCAGTCAGGTTTGGTAGCCTGTGCCCAGCTTTTACGTGGGTGTTGGGGATCCAAACTCAGGTCCTCCATGCTTGTGCTCTACTGACTGAACTGTCTTCAGCCTCCTAAGGCAGTTTTTTGTTTTGTTTTGTTTTTTCGAGACAGAGTTTCTCTGTGTAGCTTTGGCTGTCTTTAGACCAGGCTGGCCTGAAACTCACAAAGATCCGCCTGCCTCTGCCTCCCCAGTGCTGGGATTAAAGGTGTGTGCCACCACCGCCCTGCTCCAAAGGCAGTTTTAACAAATGCTATGTCATCAGAAAGTAACACACATAATACAAATCTAAAATTAAAAAAAAAGACAAGTGAAAATACTACAATTTCAGGAAAAACTCACATGGGGCTGCTAGAGACCCAGCAACAACACTGGGCTTTTCTGGGTTCTGAGCAGGACTCAGCACCTTACGGCCATCTGCTCACTGTTAAGTATGCTCCCAATGGCTAGCTGGCAAGGCAGGTATGGCCATTACCCTACTTCTCAGACCAGACATCAGGTGAAGTAGCTGTAACGTGGGCGGCTGACAGAACCTGACTCAAAGCCCGTCCTCCTCATTCTGTGCAGCCTGCTTCCTGACGCCTGTTCACTGTGGAGGGCCCATCAGCCAACCACACTTAACACCCCACAGCCCCCTATGTTGGAGAGAGAGCTTTGCTAGGACAGTGCTTGCCTCTCAAGCTGAGGACCTTGGTTCAATTCCCAGAACCCACATAAAGGTACCCAGCAGGCTGGTGTGGGGCACATTCTACCTGTTCCTCTCATTGCCCTGCTACCGCTGGCAGCCACACTCACCTGTCAAGGATGGGTTTCTCCTGCTCCTCCTCAGGGCTGGCACTGCCCAGGATCCGCCTCCGGGCCTCTGCGTACTCTGCCTCCCGCTGTGCTAGGGACTTGACCGGAAGGGCTGGCCTGCTGGTGGAGTTGGGGCTGCTGACCACACCGTTGCTGGTGGGCCTCTTGAGGATGCGGATCTGTGGAGGGGGCCCCGTGGGAAGGCTATCGTCTTGAATCACAATGGGCACTTTGGGAGGAGATTTGGATTTCCTGCTGACAAAGAGCAAATACAGCTTCACAAATCCCACAATGACTAGAAGGCCCATCCAAGTCCCCCACGCTCCTCATCACTGTCTTCTCCTTCCACTATTCACCTGGCCCATGACCAGACAACTGCACTCCCACTCCTCCACAGGATATCAGCCTTGCCACCAGCTCTGTGGGGCACAGAAACTGCTCCACAGCTCTAACTCTGCAGGGGCCAGCTCACCACCTTGTGTCCTGGGACTTCCTCTCCATGTGCATAACAGGCCCAGCAAGCACCATTTGGCCCTTGAGGTCAAAACATTCCACACCCAAAATTCAACGACTTTGAAGAAAAAAAAACCCAGCTTCCCTACACAGACCAGAGTATGAGAGGCTGGTAGGCTGGGAGCCCCTCTGTCCAGGTCTCCCACAGCATGTTCTCAAAATAAGACAACACACAGGCACCTCCTGTGCCACCCTATCTGGTAATAAGCAAGACAGGATTTACCAAACTCTCTCTGCCTTCTGGCCAGTGACCTGTGCCTCTCAGAGACAGGCTGCACCAGACAAGCAAGTCATCTCCATACCAGAGCCTTTGAGCAGAGAATCTCCCTCACCAGGGGCTCTCTGCTCTGGGGGGCAGCGGCGGGGCTAGGGCAAAGGCCGATCATAGAAACAGTGCTTGGCAATGCTCAAAAGAAAAGCATTGTCCAAGGCTAGTCAATGTGCACATCCATGCCAGGTGGCCACAAGCAGAAGTGAAATTCCCCCAAACACAAAGAGGCCAACAACACGGAGAGGGAGGAAACAGAAGCCACAGATAAGAACAGGAGCAAGGCAGGATGAACATCCACACCAGCCACCAGGGCCACCCCAGACCTGTCAACCAGCTCCTGCTCACAACCGCTGAGACCTTTGCCAGAGCCTGGGTTGTCAGGAATAGTGGAAGCTGTGTGCTCTGAGTCGGTGGAAGGGTCCTGGGTAGGTGGGGGTAGCAGGGGACAGGGCCTGCGACCACGGTGGGTAGCTCCTGGGAAGAGTAAAGGAGCCAGCAGTCCGATCACAACAGCAGGATCACAACAGCAGGGAGTCCGGAAAGCCAGTGTGGGGCAGGGGTCTCCAGAATACCCTGGGGGAGTGAATGTAGCTGGTTCTGTTGCTTGTCCCTGGGTTGCCTAAGCCCAAAGTCACCCACTCTGAAACCCACGTCCCATGCCGCGTGGATGTGACAAAGCAATTCTTTAAGGTCTCTCAAGAATTCCCTAGAATCTTTCCTTCCAAGATACTCTCATAATACCCTAAACTGCAAGTCACCAAGGTCACTGAGAAATCATCTGTCCAAACTCTTCATTACGAAAGACACCCATGTCTGGAGGAGAATACCTCACTCTACACAGTCACACCTACACCCAAACCTTGCAGTTTTGCCACCTTCCCTCTCTCAATGAGATGACCTCACACAGCCCACCTAGCCTCATCCCAAAGCCTCCATCCAGTGTCCTGGCCTCCTACTGGGAGGGAAGAGCTAGCTGCCCAGGACCTAACCTTCTACCGCTACCAGCCAGCTGGAGAACACTGCCTGCCCAGCTCTCCAGCGGCAGAGAGCATGAGCCCTCAAGCCAGACATCAGCCTTACCTCTCCTTTTGTGTGATCTTCAGTTTTTTTTCCAACCGTCTGTCTATTTCCTAGAGGAAAAAAATGTATATAAAAGTGG